TTTAGGAAATTAATTTAAGAAAAACCTCTTTCTTTTTTTGTGTCTGTTTTTTCTTTGTTATTTGCTTTAATAAAACGTGAACTAAAAATGAGTGAAACCGGAAAGAAACAGAATTAAGATATTTCTATATCTTAAATCTAAAACAATACTTTAGTCCAAAATTATTAGAGGCAACTCATTTTTTCTCACAAATTAAAAAGATAATCCCAACGTTTTAAACAATTTAAAAATCAAAAGTCTTTAAGAAATCATTTGGAAAATGAGATTATTTAATCCACGAAGGACGATCAGTAAATTTTAATTACTTAGAATCAAGACAGTATAAAACATCAAAGAAAATTATATTTAGGCGTTTTGATTTTTCTATAAATACCAAAGTAAAGCTTGAAAATCCAATGTTCCTGTTTCCAGTGCATTCAGCGCTTTAATGATTTCTATATTTTTTGTTTGTTTGTTTTTTCCTTAAAATGACACCGAACCACTGCAGTGATTCATGGAGGCCTATTTTCTCTTCCAGAAACTTCTTCATTGTCATCCTGCGTCACGCGGCGCGAGAAATGAAGAAAAATGCATTATCTCCATGATGAAAGCCTTGATTTCTGAATGTGTCATCAAATCCAACCATAATAAAAAATTAAGCCTCACCACGATGGCTTTTTAATGAAATTCACAGTATCATGTAATCGTGGATTAAGTAATTGGGAAAATATGCGCGAAGGGGGTCTGCGTCTCCCGGTTGAAGCACAGTGGTGCAACTCTCAGTGGTTCGCAGATAACATTTTCAAGCTTTTTGCGCTCCGCTGTTCCCAATTAACGCGCTGTCTGTCTGGATGGCTGTAAACCCACAGGGTGGAGGCCCTGTGAAAATTGGAAATTCCCGCAGCGTGCGGTCAGGAGAGGCCATTTTGATGGAAAATATAGAGAGAAATGGAGGAGGCGAAGTGATGCAAGTCGCTAAGCGTACCTGTTTAAAATGCACTTTAACGGGACAATATAAGGATCCTCATCAACCTTCATTTCAGTCTGTTTTATTTGATTAGAGCGGCATCGAGATGAGCGTTATTTAAATGTTCCAGCGAGCTTCAAACCTAAAGAAAACTTACACTTTGGATGCATTTAGTCACCAAAAGCACGACGCGTTAAAAAAACACTGATGTCACCACAAAGGTTAAAAAATACATTTCTGTGTTTGGTTTTATTTAATTTAATTGTTCTATGCAGTTAATCTAAATGTAAACTCGTTTGACTCTAAATTGGTTCAAATCGGTCCATTTTATTCTTATTAAATTGACCCTTGCTTAGATTTGCTCTGTTATTAACTTTGATCATCAACGAGCTTGGGCTGATCTTTGAGCTAAGTGTAAATGTGGTGTATATGAAGGCCAACCTCTGCATAACAAAATGCAATTTATGTTATAATCAAATGCGAAAATGAAGTAGAATGCATGTTGTTTGATCTTACTCCGTGCAACCAGTCCTCTCCGCTCTGATCTCACTTTTTTTTTTTTTTTAGATTTCTCTCTAAAACGCTCCTATTTCCTTTCAATGCCACCAATATAATAATAATAATATTATTATTATTATTATTATTATTATTATTATTATTATTATTATTATTATTATTATTATTATTATTATTAGTATTATTATTATTTTATTTTGGTATTTTTACCCAGGCAGGGTTGGGACTGTGCGCGCGAGGCCACACCGGCCGTTCGGCGCCTATAAAACAGAAACAATCACCTTGGAGGTTTTTATTAGGGTTTGGAATTGGTCCCTTAAGAAGTAACTGAGGTAGTTTTAAAGAGAAGCATCGCCGCGCAGGACCTGAATTAATGGCGATCGTTAAGAAAATGACTGTTAATATGCCAATAAAAACTGTGTCAGGTAGAAAAAGTACAAGCTACGTCCAGGAGGCAAGTAAATAATTGAACACGCACCGATAGATTTATTGTTATTTATCTTCCTTTATCTGAAATCGTGAATTTATTAATTTGTTGTAATAGGGAATTTAATGCGTTACCTGACTCAGATATAAACTGACTTCTCTCTTATCATTAGAACTTATATTTTCTTTTTTTAAATTCTAGTTAACAGCGATTCAAATTAGAAACTACCAGCACTGCAAAAACAATATATATATATATATATATATATATATATATATATATATATATATATATATATATATATATATATATATATATATATATATATATATATATATATATATATATATATATATATATATTGAAATAGGTAAAAATATCTTAAATTAAGTGTATTTACCCTTAATTTAAGCAGTTTGCCAGTTTTTACTCTTAAAATAAGATAATTAGATAATATGCACTTGGAATATGAGAATGCCATTTCCTTTCTTATTTAAATGTAAATTGTCCCGTTCCACTGGCAACTTTCCTCCTCAATTCAGGACAAAATGCACTTATTTTAAGAAAATAATACTAATTTAGATTTCAATTTTTGCAGTGAGAGATGTGTTAAATTTTAAGCATCCTTTATGCTTTTCATAGAGTTTCATAGAGTTTGCGCATGAGCCCATCGTCCCTTTTAATCTCATTTTACCTGTGAAAATACAAGGAAAGGATAGAGAACAAAGAGAGGGAAGGAGGATAGAGCCGTGTGTGTGTGTGTGTGTGTGTGTGTGTGTGTGTGTGTGTGTGTGTGTGTGTGTGTGGGGGGGGGTTATGAGGGTAGGGGTGATTTTTCGCTGCACCGACGCTTTTTCAGGCTCAATGTGAAAATCCGGCCAATCAGCCGCAGAGACCCGACAAAAACGCCATGAACATTTACGACGAGCAGGCAAAGGCACTTTGTTTCACTACACCGGGCAAGTTGTTGGTGGGGGAGGGGGAGGGGCTGAGAGGGAGGGAGAGAGAGAGAGGGAGAGAGAGAGGGAGAGAGAGTAAGAGGGGAGCAGGAAAAAACAGAGTGACAAAAATATCTAATGTCTCTGCTTTTGTTCTGCCTGAAGTAAACTCGCCGTGGATTCTAGATAATGTCCAAGAATGTCCATTTCTGGGACTTTGAGCAACTACTACGTGGACTCCATTATAAGTCACGATAGCGACGAACTCTCAGGCGCGGCGCGTTTCTCCGGCGTCCAGTATCCCGGTTCCACCTCCGCTGCGGCCGATGGAGCCGGGCACCCCGAACTCGCTCATGCCGAGTCATACCCATCCTGCAGCTTCCAGCCCAAACCTCCCGTTTTCTCCTCACCCTGGGGCCCGTTCAGCCCGCACCACGGAGCCGGTGGCCTCCCGACAGTCTACCATCCCTACATACCGGGTCAGCATGTGCCCACCGCAGAATCACGCTACATCCGCTCATGGCTGGACTGCACTCCGCGGAACCCGGAGTCTTTCCCGGGCCAGAGCCAAACTGGGCAGGTCAAACTGGAGCCCCAGGTTGGCCATCAAGGCGGGGAGCTTCCCATCAAAATCAGCGGACAACACGAGACCACCACGTACATCCTGGAGTCACTTTCCACGCCGGGGCGCGAGCTGAACCACCATGCCACCTCCATCCAGGGAGCAGGATTTGAAGAGAGCAAGGATGTTTGCGAAGGGAGTAAGGACAAGGACAGCGCGGATCAAAGTAAGTTATGAAAGCAGGAAATGATGCGCGGGAGAGGGAGAACTGCCTGGGAGACAATAAATGTTTTAATGCTGCCATAAAACAAGAACAAAGAGCCGGAAAGCTACAGTCATCCCACCCGCTGCCCACGGTGCACGCATAGGACCCCGTCTCTGTGTGCGAGCCCAATTAGACATATATATATATATATATGTCTATATATATGTCTAGACATATATATATATATATATATATAGGGTATCTTTTATATATATAGGACAGTCTTTGGCGAATTAAGCATATTTTTCTAACTACTGCAAAGACAGTCAGGCTCACATCTCCACTGTGTATTTACATGTCTAACCAGTGCGCACTGTTTTGCTTTTTCTGTTTTTCATTTCCACAAAGTCATCGTAAAATTGACTCATCTAATGTTTGCAATATTGATAATAATAATGAAACAGCAATCCAGAGTGAATCAAACCTTGAGCACAGAGCAGGTGCGAAAACAAGATATTCAGCTGCAGAACAGGAAAATATAGTTTTTTGTTTGATCATTAGATTCGATTGAATTTGTTATTCAATTTTGTGCTTTTATAATATTGCATTTTTTGTAGCTTTTGTGGGATTTTTCGGGGATTAAAATCGGTAAATGATTTTATTTTTTATTATTTAGGCAACATAGCAGGCTCTGTTATTCAGCCAGCTGGGGCGTAAACCTTCTCTCCGTCTGATGGCCCAGTTCTGTCACGCCACCCTGTTAGGTTTCTGTTCCAATTTTATTTTATGTGATCAAACAGAACGGGAGTCTTGAAACGAAATATCTGGTGACCTCTGGAGCCGTTAATTGTTCTGATATTATTCATATCTGCATTTCAGTGCATTTGATAGCTTTAGGAGAGAAATGAGAAATGTCTTCCTCTCAACAATAGACCTACAATTAATTTAGTTTTCTTGCGTCTAATGCTGTTACAATATAGTTCAGATTACGAACATAAGCGAATAATAATCTGTTTTGGTTTAGCCTAAGTGGTTTGGTTTAGTTTAAAACTAAGGGACAAACGGCCTGTTTCTGGTCCCGCCATCGGCAGGAGGGGGCGCACGGTGGGGGTCAGGAACATCCATCTGCAGCGAATCCGACACAGACTGGAATCGGCTGATTCAGAAGCAGAAATAAAACCTATACAGCGCGCAATTTATCAACGCACCTTTAACACACGCGCACTAACGCGCGCGCGCGAAACGCGGACAGGATTAGAGCGAGTTGGCGCGTGATAGATCAAAGCCGTCCGCTCAGGTCTGAATTATCTGACTGTCCACCGACACTGTGTCCCAAACCGAAGTGCTGATTGGGAGCTGAAGGAATCCACTATCTGTCTGCTCTTCTAACGCGTAAGCGCTTTTTCTTTTTTAATCTTATGTTCTGGCGATTTGTGTTTCAATAAAAGTGTCAAACTGTGGAGGCTCCCATTTTTAAAGATAGGGAACTCGTCGGCCTACAAATGCAAAAATTAAAGACACCGTTTTGGAATGTAATCAGTTTTTATCGTTAAATAAGGCCAGAAATCTATATCGATTTAAAACAGAAGGGAAGTCTGCTGTGCAATAATAAAAATCAAAATAAGAAATGCATCATGCTGGATTGCCGACATGCAGTTTTATTTCTGTCGAAGCGCGTGAGCAAGACGCGCAAACATTAAAGCCAAGTCCCTGTCCATGGCTGGGAAATATTTTTTTTAATTCTTTGTGGTTTCATGTTGTTTCCTGGCTTGGTTGTGACATTTCTTATTGTTCATTTAGGCATCCTCACAACATAAAAAAAATGACTTGATGGGGTACAGAAAAGCTCTTGATCTTTTTTTTAATGATGACATAGAAATATGTGTTCCCAGTGACAGAGGGCTTTCATTTCCTGAGAAAATACTAACATCACATTTCTGTAATGAGAATAAGATCTGAATAATAATGGCCTAAAACAGACATATTCAATTTCCTAGTCGTCATTTTTTCCCCCCGGCCTAAAACATTTTGATATGAAAAGTTTCTTAATCTACAGATTTGGGAAAATATTGAACAGCCCTTGTTTTCTTCTGTCTCTTGTTCATTTTCATGTATCCAGTGAACAATTTAATTCTATTCAGTTTATTTCTATAGCTCCAATTCACATCATGTCATCTCAAGGCGCTTTACAGTTCAACCAGATCATCCAGTCAGATTGATTCAAAGTTTTCTATCTAAGGAAAACCAGCTGATTGCATCGACTCATTGACTCTTCAGCAATCCCTCACACTAAGCATGCTTGTAGCGACAGTGGAGAGGAAAAACTCCCTTTGAACAGGAAGAAACCTCCAGCAGAACCAGGCTCAGTGTGAGCGGCCATCTGCTGAGGCCCACTGGGGTTCAAGGAGACAGAAGCAGACATAGAAAAAGAAACATAGATACAAAAGGCAACTGTCAACCAGCTCCACAGAGCTGAGAAAAAGCAGAGAGAGCAGAACATTAGAGATTGAACTAATATATTCTACAGAGAGAGAGAATAGAGATAGAATGAAGCAGAGTGATAAAAAGTTGTCCCTATGTCCTCCAGCAGTCTAAGCCTATAGCAGTAAAATAGCTCACAATAACCCAAGTCATTCTAACTATAAGGTTTTGTAAAAGGAAAGTTTAAATTTTACCCTTAAACCAAGAGAGAAGTGGTTCAATAAATGAATGTAGGTATGAGCCGGCAGCAGGTTGTGTTCTCCCGTCTTTAGCTGTAACAGTTGTCCGGTTGGGTCTGCCTAAATGCTGGCTTTTTCAGATGGCAATCACCAACTCCCCAAGTCAGATGGAGATACATGGGTGGTTCTAGCCAAGGGCCAACAGGGGCCTGTGTCCCTGTTAGGGCCCCTGCACTGACCCCAAAACAATTTCAATATATTGTTTTTTTTTTGTTTTTTGTTTTTTTTCTTATCCCTTCACAGTTTTACTCTAAAAAACATTTTTTGGCCCTGATACGAATACCCCATACCTGGCTGAAATTTACGTATGTGTATCTATGTAGAACTGCATTCTACTTGGATGTAAAATAATTGCCATCATGGCTTTGTCAAGCTGCAGCCTTCCTTTGTGAAGCAGGAAAAAGACTGATACAAAGGGAATCCAGTAGAACTTTTATTGCCTACCTGGAATGGGTGACAATAGTTCAATAAAGTTTTTGCTCGCAAAATGATATTGGTGCCCTATACTCGTTGACACCGGTACCACCATTTTATTGCAGTATTGGGGCCCTACCTGATACTGGCATCAGTATTGGTGCAACACTAGTTTTAGGATAGGATCCCATTTTTTGGGCTCTTCAACCTGCAGCTCCGTGGCTTTATGAATTACTTAAAGGTCATAGCTACAAACTTTTTCATCTAAACAATAGTTTTTTTTTTTTTAAATAACACACCTTCACGCCTAGATTGGTCCAGAATAAAATTATTTATTTTACAGAAAAAAAAATCTTAATAGGGTTAATAGTTTTTCATTTCTCGACTGGTCTATAATATATAAATATCTATTTCTAGCCATGAAGAGCGGATTCTGCACTGTTAGGAATAGCGGGTTAAAGTCACATGACATGAAGCTAAAGCTTTGTCAATTTCTAGTAGCTCCATGATGGAGCTGAGGAATGTTTTCTTATTACTGCATTTCTGACATTCATGCCAAAAAAACAACAAAACAAAAAAACCCAAATAGAAAGCAAAACGAGGGAGTTATGTAGCTTCAGAGGAGAAGCCATGTAGAGGCTGCCAGTTTTCCTCTGAACAAGTAATTAAAATGCTAACATTAGCATTAGCCCAGCTAGCAAACAGTGCAGAACCACAGTAGATGAGCACCGGTGCACCACTTACTGGCCTGGAGGAGTTAAACTTGTGGCTAACACCTTTTATGTATCAAAAAATAAATGATAAACCTGTTTTTTTATTTGTTTGATTGTTTAAGGTTTGTTTAAAAAATTGTTTCACCCTGTTAAATTTGGTTTAGAAAAGCCACAGTTCAAATGACATCCAAAGCAACATTTCCATCCATCTGAAAGACGTGCAAATGTGGCGTTTGGCATAACGATGTCTGGTTTGGTTTGGGGGAAGCTAAAACATTTTGATGAGAAGGCTAATTAAATTTAGAATGTATTTTAATAGAAATTAAGTCCATAAATAAACCCCAAAAACCTGACAAGCAACAAAAAAACAGATTTTTAGGGACATCCAGGGTTTCGGAGAGTCTTAGAGTCTCTGTTTCAAAATAATTCTCCTCTCAGCAGCATCGCAGCAATTCTCCCTGCCTCCAAAGCGTTTTCGTTTCCTCAGATAGAGACCAGATTCCCAGGCCACATTGATTCATTTGAAGGCTAGAATCAGCAGTACAGATGTAGTAAACTTTCAACCTAGACTTTGTGAATGCTCGTCTTATTCGCTCTCAGTAAGAAAAAGAAAGGAAATATTATCTGGATGATATATGTTGACAGCGGGAGGGTTCTTCACTCACATCCCCCCACCCTATTTATTAAAAATGGCCACCATATGAAAAACAACCAAACCCTATCCTTCAAAACATCATGTAAAGTAAAGTCGCCGAGCAGCTACAACATTTTCTTTGCATTATGGGAGCTGGGCAATCATCCAGAACAAACTACAAAATCACACTTCAGTCCTTGTGCTGCTGCTGGGTGGAAACACTAAGTTATTACTCCCAAAGTGAATTATGTTAAAGCTGGATGAACAACCCCATTAATTGGCGTCTTACTGTTGGTGGCTGGGAAGGATGGGTGTGGGGTTTGAAGGGAACAGGGTGAGGAAGATCTGACGCTGTGTCTTTGGGGAAAATAGGAGTAAAATCCCAAAGGTTGGTCAAAAGGGACGAATTCCAGGTTCTGTTGCCGTTTTGTTTTCCGGTTTCCATGTAGAGATCAACATGACGACGCTTCGTGTTCTTCCCCTGCTTTGATTCACCAGCTGAACATGAGCAGAAACCACACATTACCTGAAGAGACGTCTGATACACACCCACCCCCCCACGCACACACCTTTCACTCTCCTCCACCCCCGTTTGTCATCCTCGGCGACAGCCATGGACGTGGCCTTGCTCCAATAGTAATGAATGACTCTCCAGGTGATAACAAGGCATGCAAAGCACCCACTTTGCTAGAAGCAACGCGGCGCACGGCTCCCACAGCCCCCACCCCATCTCCACCAACACACACATGCACACGTCCCCTTTTCCAACATTATATTCTCCTCTGAAATGTAATCGATCTACTGCTTGCTGGCCATGTTGGAGAAAATTGATTCCAGAGGGTATTGAGGACACATCCATTGATAAAAGTTTTTGCGCAGGGGGAAGAAATGAGAAGAGAGATAATCGTTCAGATCCAGGCGGAACTTCAGCAAATGTCTGTCCTGTCTTAGGACTCATCATGTCACAGCGTCATGTATCCATCTACCTTCTGTCACGCTTTATCCCAGCTGAGGTGGCGAGAGATGCTGGTCCCTATCTCCAGCTGTCTGTGGGCGATAGGCGGGGTCCACCCTGGAAAGGTCGCCAATCCGTCGCAGGGCAACACAGAGACACGCAGCACAAACAACCATTCACACTCACACAAGTTCTAATTTAGAGAAGCCAATTAAGCTAACAGTCATGTTTTTGGACTGTGGGAGGAAGCCGGAGTACCCGGAGAGAACCCACACATGTTCAGGGAGAACATGCAGACTCCAAGCAGAAAGACCCTGGAGCGGGAATTAGGGATGCACGAAATTGGGATTTTGGCCGATATCCGATATGCCGATATTTTAAAACTCATGTAGCCGATAACCGATATCGATACTGATGTTAAAGCTGGACAAAAATAAGTAGTCATTGAAAATAGCAGTTTTGTTATCCATTTCTGACACTTTGAAAAATAATATACTCAAATATATTTTCATATGCTGATATCAAATTGATTTTTAAAAACGATCTATCGATCTATTTTACTTTCAAAATCTGGTGAAATTTCATCGTTCTGTTACAAACTCTCGTGATATTTTGCAAATTCTTGTGAGATTTTGTTAGTAAAATAGATCGATACCGCGTCAATATATCAACATATAAAAATATGGCAACATTTTGTGAATTTTCGGGGGATTTCGTAGCATAACGATGACATATAGCAATATTTCATTAGTAAAAGAGATTGATATGGTGTTTTTAAATGGCAATATATCAGCATATGAAGATATTGGGATATTTTAATGTATCAATATTTTTTCCCTTGTCTTTAGAAGTTTTTAAGTCTGTAAAAAAGAAGTTTTTGAGGAAGAAGAAGTGGTATTTATTTATTTATTTTTTTAGACTTTAGAAACTCAGAAGCTGATCAAATATCGGGTTAAATATCGGTGGGGTGGCCGATGTCCGATATTCAGTTTTAAGGCCAATACCGATTATATCGTGCATCCCTAGTGGGAATAGAACCTGGAACTGCTTCCCACTGCTCCACACAGAGCAGCCCACGTCATGTTTCCATGTCCAGCAAATACATTTTATGTTCCTCTTCAGGTTTTAGAACAGATTTATTCTCATTTATGTGCCTCAGGTCAGCTGTTTGTCTAACTCTACCCTTCAAATACCAAAACATCAAAGTTAAAACATCATAAATCTATGAAAAGAAAAACATGTTTAAGACGATAGGTGACCTCCTATTTGGTGAAAGATTTCCTTCGCCTGAAATTGTATTTTTTTTTTTACTTCATAAATTATTAGACTTAAAGAGCAAACCTTCAAACACTCAATATTGAATAAACTTATTTTTTATCAATGATTTCTTTGTTTAAAGATTGGATCTTCACACAAACTAATTTAGCTGGAATTTTTATTGATCCAATCAATGGGGGATACGTCTAACAACAATTCCTTTTTTTGCAGTCCTTCCTTCTGAACATGATCAGTGAGAAAAACGATGAAACATCCGTTCAAAACTAGAAAAGTTAAACTAGAGCAAAAAACCAAAACATTTTCCACTAAATTCCAGAAAGAAAACATGAATCTGAGTTTGTAAAACCGAGTCAAGCTGAATCTAATCTGTCAAATTATTCCTCAGCAAAAAAATGTCTGAGTTTCAGCTTCTAAAGAATGATTGTTTATTGAAAGTAATTTAAAGGGGAAAACAATCATAAATATTGTCAATTAGATCAAATATGGCATTTGTTTTTTTTAGGTTGATATGAGACTCTAATGCTGTAGTTAAAACAAAAAGGCTTTTCAGGAGACATAAAATGGTTTTCAGAATCAGGATGACGAGGAAAACCCTGCGGTGTAAAAATCCTGATTCATTTAATGATGTGCATGTTCTATGAAATAAGCTGCTGTAACATCTATTTGTTAAGCATGCAATTAAAATATGAAATGCGCTATAAAATAAATATACATCCAATTAAATAATCTAAATTGCATCTAAAATTATCCATTTCATTGAAATTATTGATTTCAGTGACTTCACTCAGTATTTCTGAATAAATAGTCGGGAATTTCTTGATGTATTTTAGAGGTAACCGGTCTTATTTTTGGGGTAAAATGTTTGGAAAATCCTCTGGAAATAATTTACTTCTTTTTTCCTTCCAATCAGCCCAAGTGAGACATTCGTAGCAAAGATTTCACTTATTTAAAGAAGAATGGATAGTTTAAAACAGCGAAGGAGGATAAGTCTTGACTTATTGCGCTGGTCTGAAAGCAATAAAAATACCAGGGGTGGTGTGGGGGTGGGATGGTAAGAAAAAAGAATGTTGAGAAAAAAAATAGGACTTGTTTTTTCCCCCCCCTTTTCAAAAATAGGAATATTCATTCAAAGGCCCTTAATTATGCAGCACACAATGTGATTTAGTATTTCACATCCAAGTCACCACAAAGCAACATGTAATTTATGCTGACTTTTGTCTCATAAGCTTTAGAGCTTTTTCCGTTCAAACAGGATGGAGACAAACGTCACCTTTCATTTATCCTGCATCCCTCATTTTATCTTGTATAATTGTGTAAAAAAAGAAAAACACAGTTTTCCAAAGCCTGTTGTGTTTTAATTAAGTTCTATTTAGTTTATTTCTATAGCTCCAATTCACATCATGTCATCTCAAGGCGCTTTACAGTGCAACCAGATCATCCAGTCAGATTGATTCAAAGTTTTCTATCTAAGGAAAACCAGCTGATTGCATCGACTCATTGACTCTTCAGCAATCCCTCACACTAAGCATGCTTGTAGCGACAGTGGAGAGGAAAAACTCCCTTTGAACAGGAAGAAACCTCCAGCAGAACCAGGCTCAGTGTGAGCGGCCATCTGCTGAGGCCCACTGGGGTTCAAGGAGACAGAAGCAGACATAGAAAAAGAAGCATAGATACAAAAGGCAACTGTCAACCAGCTCCACAGGCGGCCCCGTCCAGGAAACACACAGCCAGGCAGACGAGCTCCGAGCCAGCTCCCATGTCAGAGGATGAAGAGAGACCATACAGTTAGTCACAGTCAGAGAAACAGGACTACACTGGAAAACAGGCCAAGCTCCAACATCTAGAAACAAAGGTGTTGATGGCAGCAGCACAGCTGATATTTCTCTCCAGGATGGAGTCACAGCCAAACAGGAACAGACCAGATGAAGCTACTATGAGAAAAAGCAGAGAGAGCAGAACGTTAGAGATTGAACTAACAGATTCTGCAGAGTGGGAGAATAGAGATAGAATGAAGCAGAATGATGAAAAAGGGGTCCCTATGTCCTCCAGCAGTCTAATCCTATAGCAGCATAATTATAGACATAGCTCAGGATAAAACTAATGCAAATGTGTGTAACGTTCACCATTTAATAAAAAGTGATACATTTAAACATCTTCACTGAGCAACATTTTCTGTGCTTCCTAAAGGAACAATCAGGAGTAACAGAGTCTGCCACATGATCATCACGCTCCCAGAAGAGAAGGAATGTTAATGAAAGCATTACGAAGCTGCAAATCATCTTCCACGTCCCGCGTGTGTGTGTGTGTTTTGGTGTGTAGGGGTGTGTGTGTGTTTGCTATTGTCAAGGGAAATAATCTGCTTGATTTTGAAAAAAAAAAAAATGTTTTAGCCATGAAATCTTTTTATCTGTTGAAAGCACAAGGTTTCCCATCTACTCTGCTGCATCATGATGTGTTGGAGACCAAATGAAGAGCATAAGAACCCATCATGATGTTAGTTTTGCTCTAAGGTGCCTTCCTAGTCACTTTTCCAGGCTTTTTTTTTCCATTGAACTAATCTTCCTCTTATCCTGCATGTGAACATTTATGGGTTTATATTTCGCTGGATTTAACATCGTCTAACACACCCCCCCTTTTCTTTTTATTTTTCTCTCTGTTCCAACAGACGACCCTTCTGCCAACTGGCTTCACGCCCGCTCCTCCAGGAAGAAGAGGTGCCCATACACCAAATACCAGACCCTAGAGCTGGAAAAGGAATTTCTGTTCAACATGTATCTCACGCGGGACCGGCGGCATGAGGTGGCGCGCGCTCTGAACCTGACAGAGAGGCAGGTTAAGATCTGGTTCCAGAACCGGAGAATGAAAATGAAGAAACAAAGCAAGGACCAGTCAAAGGAGTGACTGGACTCAGACGGACTTTAGACATGCTCTCTCTCTCTCACACACATGCAGCCACAGTCTACCATATATCCTGTCCATCTAATTGCACCTTCTTTCTATCGGAAAACATTTCTAATGATACGAGCAGACTAGCTTGTATCACCGTCGCTCAGTCAGCCGGAGGCTTGGAAACAGCTTTCAGAACATGCTGAACAAGCTGAGACAAGTCCAGTGGCCGAGCCTCGGACCGGACGACCCAACAGGTCGACCTGAGTCCAGAAGTGGCGGGAAAGCCTGAGGAGAAGGGAGATTTTTGCTTCCAAAGGCTGGAACTGAGAAATCAAGGATGAGGACAGACTTACAGACGAGCGGTTGCTCCTGACAGGCTTTGGTTTCATTTTCTTGATTATTTCCACCTTTTTAAGAAATGCACAGAGCGTATTATTTATAGATGCCCCATGCCTGATTGTTTTCAAATAAGAACCTATGAACATTTGTGGCCTATTGTGAAACATGAGCTGAAAACTTTTGCCGGCTTAACCCCTTTTTGTATTGTTTTAAAAATTATGAATATTGTGAATGAACCCCATGTTTTAAACAAACTAAAAATTATACAGATTAAAACATCTTCAGTCAGTTTGTAAACTATAGATAAGTACTTTGTGTTAGAAGTTAGCATAAAAGGGAGTAAACGCCTAACAAAAAACAATTAAGTGACCAAAAAGGAAAAAAAAACAGGACCACTAACTGAAAAAAGGATTTTCTTTCTTTCAAGCACCTATTTGAATAATTTCTTATCTGTGCTGCCAACAAAAGCACATAGAGGTGGGCTGCAGTCAAAGGTAAAAAGAAATACAGCCTCAGGTCTTAATTGTTCCTTTTTAAAGATTTTAATCATTTCAAATTCAACCTTAGCAGCACCAAACCAGAAACTCCAGACAAGGATATTTCATAAAAATAAAAACATGTTATAAAAGTCCAGGTTTTATTCAACAAACTGTTGGGTCACATTACAGAAGAAACTCTCTATTTTTCTACATACAGGATATTTAATGTCTGCTATGCAAGTTTTTTTTTTTTTTTATGCTGCAAAGGGCTCTCTTTTCCCCAATGAGACGAGTCTGCTCATGATTGGTCATCTTTTACCGACTTTTCATTCCTGAACGTGGTACTAGAATCTGCCTCATACTACACTGCTTTTCTTAAATTCTTTAATTTCTTAAATTAAGTGTATTCACCCTTAATTTGAGTAGGTAAATGAGATAGTTTGCCAATGGAATGAGTAATTTTACTCTTAAAATAAGATAATTGGATAATATGCACTTGAAATAAGACAATATAATTGTGTTTTCTTATTTTAAGTATAAATTATCTTGTTCCAATTGTAAAATGTTTCTTTTACCTCCTCAATTCAAGAACAAATGCAGTTATTTTAAGAAAAAATGACTTATCTAGATTCAGATTTTTTGCAGTTTAAGGATGATTTTCTGTTTCTTTTACAGATATTTAACAGCTCTGATAATAATTGTAAATCACAAAGTATCTGGTAGATTTTGGTGGCTATCCTGAGCAGCAGTGGTGGATGAAGTATTCAACAGTAGTACTTCAGTAAAAGTATTTATGCTCATAGTCAAATCTTACTCAACTACAAGTAAAATTTACTCCCTCAATAATCTACTTAAGTTAAAGTATTGAAGTATTTTAAAAACATAAATAATTTTGGAGAACCTGTAACTGTCAGAAACCACCTGATGTATTAATGCGTAAAACCACCTGCTATAGATTCTACACCACCTAGAAAGAACTTCAGCATAAAAAGGCCACAAAAAAATAAGGACAGATATTTTGATTATTATTTCTTATTTAATCACAAACCAAAAAGAAAACATGAGAGTCTTGAGTCTAGAATAGAGGTTAAAGGTTGAATCTATGACCTAAAAAAAAACTATAACTCTGATCTTAGACTCATCCTACTGAACAACAGAGATGGGAAGTAACAAAGTACAAATACTTCGTTACTGTACTCAAGTAGATTTTTCTGATATTTTTACTTTACTTTACTACTTATTTTTATGGCGACTTTTTACTTCTACTCCTTACATTTTCACACAAATATCTGTACTTTCTACTCCTTACATTTAAAAAAATTGTCTCGTTACTTTAGTTTTGAATCATTTCAATGGAGTTACCGTTATTATTTTTCACGTCATCAATACCAAATTCAATCTAATTGGATGGGAATCTACGTTGCATTTGACGCACCACTACAAGATGAATCCACAGATTCGGCGGTATTCATTCTCGGCAAATCATTGCAGCTTGGTGGCGGTGGCGTTAGCATAGTAGCATGGACGACGAGATGATTGAAAATGAACACAACGGAGATCTAGTCCTATTGGCAGACATCCATTTAAAATGTAGGCAACGGCATGAAAAAAGTGGTTTCTACTTTTACTTTTATACTTTAAGTAAATTTACAAGCCTGTACTTTGTTACTTTTACTTGAGTAAAGAAGTTTAATCAGTACTTCCACTTTTACCAGAGTATTTTTAAACACAAGTATCTGTACTTTTACTCAAGTACGAAAAGTGAGTACTTTTGCCATCTCTGCTGAATAACTTGGCCACATGGCAACAAATAACGCCTTACTAATAAAATTACTAATAATCTGCCTTGAGTTTCTCTCATCTGTGGAACATCATTATCTCTAAGACATTGTCGTCCAGATATATAAGGGCTGCTAATAGCTAATAGCTCCATGTTGAAATTACATTTCAAGAGAGAAAAAGGAGCAACAGTTGACTCAAAGTTAAGCTGAGGAAAAGGGAACAAGAAACTAGCAGCTTCCTGGAAATGGAGTGGAGAAAAAGTTAAAAGAACCCCCCCCCCCCCCCCCAAAAAAAAGAAATGACTCAAGTAAAGAAGAAAAATACTCAGAAAAAGTAAAGTACAGTAATGAACTACAGGTACTTTGTTACTTTCCACCACTGCTGACCAGTTTTTCCATCTGTTGTGTAAAGCTTGCATAGCGGGTGAGTGCAGGTGAGTACAGGTGAGTGCAGGTGAGTACAGGTGAGTGCAAGTGAGTGCAAGTTAGTGCAGGTGAGAGCAGGTGAGTGAAGGTGAGTGCAGCTGAGTGCAGGTGAGTGCAGGTGAGAACAAGTGAGTGCAAGTTAGTGCAGGTGAGAGCAGGTGAGTGAAGGTGAATGTACATCAGGTTATCAGATGATGAGAGTCAGATGTGAGGAGCTGAGCATGAGTTTTGGGTGAGTCTGTGTCAGTGTGAGTGGGTTTTGCTGATTGTAACCTGTTTGACTCAGACTTTCATATCCAGAGAAGAGCTACATTTTTTTTTCTTAAATAAGCATTAAAGCCTTCATCTATAAGAGGAAATGTTTACATGATTTGTGCATGCCTCAAATCACATGTTATTGAAACACAGATTTTTTGTTGCTGTAATATGTTGTGTCTCAAATCTATCTAAAAGTGTTGCTTGTTGGAAATATTATTAGAAAAATGTAAGAGAACCTTTCTTAACATTAGACATTTCTAATTTATTGTACACAAAGCAAGTGACCTGTTGAATTTATTAAAAAGTGTGTTTGTCTTTTTGGAACATAATGTCCCGCTGTACTATAGATGATTTCCTATTTGTCTACTTTGCTTTTTAGGGAGTGTTTTCCATGCTGTCTTTCTGTCTGAATTTCTATAGTTTGATGTTAGTCTGCTGAGTTTTGTGGGTCTTTGATTTGTAATCAGTAATGAGTTAAACTATGTTTCCTGTGTTCCTCTAAATGTTTCCTCTCCTCTTTTCTCTGTTTTCTCTCATACTGTGTCCAATGTCGCTGCTCATTCTAGATTCTTATTAAATTTAAGACCAAATGTTGGTTTGATTATTTTTTCCGCTTCTGCTTCTATTTCAGTAAAACAAGAGAAAACATATTTTTGTAATTTCAAACGTTCGTTTCCAAGTGTGAAACCGGGGAGGGACGGTACTAGGAGTGGCTCGCTCTCCCTCTCGCTTACATGCTTTAAATAAAAAAAGAAATTCAAAGATAGATTCCAAACAGAATGAGACATTGAGAAAGAGCCGGAGGAACAAAGCATGTGGTTCAAATATGTGTCCCTGCTGCTGCTGCTGTACACTGCAGCTTAAAGGAGAAGGGCGTCAGTTTGGCTGCAACACCAAAAGAAACACTCACACACTTGCAGATAATAAATGCATTCAATGAGGGCGTCTTCATCATGCATCCATTAGAAGCTCGTAATGCCGCTGTGGTTCCTGTGTTTGTCTTTATACAGATCAAGGAGGAAACACTCAGGGTATGGTTAGCATTTAAAGGCTCTTATTGCTTCTCTTCCCTTTTAAAGCTGTAGTTAAAAGCCTTTTTTGATAGAAGATGATGAACAGTTTATTGAACAAATGTTACTAATCACAAAAAGCTCTGTTTCTCTTTAAAGTAATAGAAGTAGGAAATATTTTATTTATTTAAACTCCATGTTAGGGTGCACAAAAATAATGGTCAAGGGTCCAAATTTATATTCAGTTGAAATATGTTTTAACTCAAACCGTAACCACTATTGATTAGATAAACTATTAATTCATTGAAATTAAAGACAATCTTTTTGAACTCAGCCATCCATTTATTTTCCTTGCTGTCAGTTGTGAGAGCAGAGTTATACCCTGGACGGGTTGCCAATCCATCACATGACACCAAACACGCAATAGTCACACATATTCATCCTTTGGGGTAATTTAGAACCACGGTATAACATTAGCTCCCTTTTCATTGCTTGTGAAAAGTCCAAGGCCCGTGTAGAAACACATTTTCCCAAATAATTTCACTCCCCTCGGCCTCGGAGCAACGAGGAATTGAGTTTACAAATCTAATTTTTTTATACCATTATTTTTGTCACTAAAAATGTTTTTAAGATGGTTTCTGATCAGGAAAGTAGATTTCAAAACCTGATCTTTGCAGTCATTTCATCTAAATTATGATCCTAATTTAAAATATAATTTTGGAGTTTTCTGAGCGGCAGAGCTCTGCTGACAGGCCAGGCTATCTGATAGCTTAAGTTAAGCAAACTGGGATTTTCCAGCTTCCTCACACTGAACTCAGCCAGGCACTCCAGGATTTCCAGCCTCCTATTATCTGTTTGCAGCAGCCGAAGGGGGATATATTTTTTATTAGGTATGTGTGGAATAAGTAGCGCACCATAGAATGCTTAATATTTTTGGCCATTTAAATGGTATTAAGGTGTTATTTATAACTGTTTTGTCACAGTTAGGGTGGCTTTTCATCTATAACTAATTAAAGCCTCTTTCCCACTGAAAATACCGGGTTAACGTGGGTTTCTCAAACCGTTAACAATAGGGATGCACGATATAATCGGCCGCCTATCGGTATCGGACTTAAAACTGAATATCGGACATCGGCCACGATATTTAACCCGATATTTGATCAGCTTCTGAGTCTCTAAAGTCTAAAAAAAAAATACTACTACTTCTTCCTCAAAAACTTCTTTTTTACAGACTTAAAAACTTCTAAAGACCAGGGAAAAGAATATTGATACATTAAAATATCCCAATATCTTCCTATGCTGATATATTGCCAATTAAAAACACCATATCAATCTCTTTTACTAATGAAATATTGCTATATGTCATCGTTATGCTACGAAATCCCCCGAAAATTCACGAAATGTTGCCATATTTTTATATGTTG